CACACACACACACACACACACACACACACACACACACACACACACACCCCCCTTCGGTTCATGTGAACTACCACTAGTTGACAAACTCTTCTAGCATGTGTCAATTCACGCAACAAACATTTTGTACCTTCTATGCAAATATGAATAAAACATGTTCCTTTGTCTTGGGCAACTCACAATTTTTGTCTCTGCAAATAATCACTATCCAGTGCACACAAATATAGATTTAGAGGCATACAGATGAGGGATTTGGTGCATTTGTGAAAGGCTTCAAAGAAGAGGGACATTAAGTTGGGTCTTGATAAATATGATACAGCTCGTTAGTCACAAAAAAAGGGGAAGAGGTAAGACAGCTCAGGCAAGCATTTCACAACTTAAAGGCATAAAGCCATGCTGGTATAGAACATGTTTAGGAATTGCAGTGAAAGCAGGGAGGTTAGTAAGTAAAGTATTTCATTAGTTTGTACAAGACAGTGGCGTTAGGGATGGAGGGAAGGGGCTTTTGAAGAGACATGTTAAAGGTAGTTGTTAAGACTTGGTGATCAAATGTAGCGGGAGGTGGAGGGGAAAGTTGTGAAAGAATCAAAGATGGCTCCCTGTTCTTATTTCGGGTTACCGTCGAGTATAGTTTTGGTCACTGGAACAGGGAATGCAGGGCAAATGAAAGACTATTAGGGGGCAGTAGAAAGGGATTCTTATCACTCGAAAGGGATAAGCTTGGCTTTACCGATGTTCATATTGAGATTACCAGATACAAGACTGCGGGATCTAGGTACAGTAGGTACTTTAAAATGGAGTTTAAGGGCTTGGCATGAGAGACTGCAACCACTGAAATGGTGGCAAGATAGTTAGATATACCCTGGGTAGGTGCTAGATATAGATCCAGGGCGGGGTAAAAAAGTGTAAGGCAGGACACAGACACAGATCTCTAACTCAGAATAGGATAGGCAATGACAAGAGAGACAGCAAGGAAGGACCACCAGTCCAGAGGGTGGGACCCTGCAGGAGATGCAAATTCTGAGCAGTTAGCCAGGAACCAGGGGCTCTGTGGGAACCCAAGGGCAGGACAGAAAGCATGGTCCAGATTCGGGGAAGTCAGCAAGATGGAAACAAATTGAGCACCAGAGTGTACGAGTCCTGGAGCTTCCTGTGGAAGCCTGTTCCCAACTATTTTGACCTGGGGCTTCAAGCAGATATTATTGAAAATATTTCTAGGGAATAAGGAAGAAGAGGAATTCTGAAGGGTGCCATGTCCCATTCGGTATATTTTTAGAGTGAGATAAAGATGTTCTCAACTAGCTGCAGTGATGTGTATGTGTCATACATGTGTTTCTATGCCAGAACAATGAAAAGTGAAGGGAATGAAATATTTGACATAGCATTGTCTAGTACAACAACATAATTATCATTTGATTTATTTCTTATTTGACTATAGGCTTACCTTTCTGCTTTAGCATTATTTTTACAGACACTGTTATTTATAAAGTATTAAAACTGTTTCAGCTGAAATGTGTATGTACTTCTAGTTTCTTGTACTGAACAACATTTCATAAGGCAGAGTTTGGTAAACCCCTTTGGTTGAAACACATTGTTATTACTTTAGGTGCTGACTGTTCTGAAGCCGGTTTCCAATTGCCTTGATTAAAGTAGGAACGTTCTATGGCTTGGATGACTTACATTTCGCATTGGTTTGAGCAAGATGATTGTTATGAAGGACTACAAAGAGTAAGATACATTTACGTTGTAATTCTAATTTTCTGTGATATCTTTTCTGCTTTATTTCTCACGCAGCTGTATTTCTGTGTCATTTATATTGCGGACATTTTTGCATTGCAGGATTCTGAGGGTAAATAGGATACTTATCTGATAGACTTAAAAGCAGAGGTAAGAAAATATATAAGGAGAGTCATTTATTGAAGAAAAGGTGTTTTTTTTCCTATCCTGATTTCAGATGAATTCTTAACGTGTTCAGATTGTCTTTAGGCTTTAAAGATAAAATAGGATTCTTTCTAATGTGATTAATGTATGAAAATAGCAATAATTTCAAGAAAGTAATTTTACATAATTTTATGATAGAAATATGTATGATAATACCACGTATTATAATAATATTGTAAAAGAAAATGAAAAAAACGTTCTGAAGAAGAGTGCCATGTTCCATTTGGTAAATTTTTAGGCAATTAATTATGCTTCAAAGGGATTTGCATTGTTACTATGGCAACTGTTGCGCAGCACAGCTATTCTGATCTATTTCTACTGCGACAGCAGAAAACTGCCATCTTTAAATGCACCTTATCAAAATGGATTTAGTTTAGAATAACATAAGATTTCTCTTTGATTATGGTCACCTTTTCAATGAAGGATTTCTTAATTACCTAAATGAAGGAGATGTGTGGACTTTTCTTTTCACTAATGAGTGGAACAAAAGAGCCAGAATATCTTGATGGAGTTTTACCAGCTTTATCCCCATTGTTGTTTGAGGGCGTGTACTACTAAAGACATGCAGTGCTGAATTCTTCTTCCTTCCTCCTTACTTCTTCAGGGTACTGTTCTAATCACATCAATCAAAGATATTTTCTCAGCATTTTACTTCGTTTAGATTATCTTTTTAGTTGTCAATCCTCAGCAGTTTAAGCCTCTTGGGTTTTCTTCTTCAGATTTTTTTTTTTTTTTTTCAGCTGTGAAACAGGCTGGTAAACATCTCAGGAGCCAGTAAATATCTAACTCTGGAGAATAACCCTCATGGTATGGATCCTAAAGCGTTCTTCAGAAGGGAGGTTGAGAATTACTGGGTAGCTCACCATCCCGAATTCCAGCCTTAACCATAATGATAGAAATGTTTCAGCTTATGCGTTTAATAGCAGTATTTGAAGTTGCGCTGGACACACACACACACACACACGCACACACACAGAGACACGCGTGCACGCACTGTAATGCCAGCATCCTTTTTTATATTGTGTGTGTGCATTTAAAATGTAATAACAGTGCATTTCTGATGTTCAGACAGAAGGCTTTTTGTTTTCAAGTGTAGTGCATATATTCCTCTACGGGAAAGGAAAGGGATGACAATCTAATTTGGAGGGAGGGGGTGACTGATTTTAAGAAAATGCGTTTTGCTAAAATTGTGTGTCTCTTTTTAGTGATTTTGAGGCAGCTCATGGAGATTTTGAGGATTCAAAATCCTTCCCTCCACCATAACCCCAATCTGCCCTTTAATAAGCTATGGCCTTTGTAAGTGAATTCCTTGTTCTGAGACATATTAAAAGAATAACTATTCTCATATATAGATATAGTCCAACCCTAAAATTACCATATCCTCTTCATGAGTTTAAGCTTTTCTTGGCTCAAGTTTTGATCAGTTCTTATACAGACTTAGATGACAATGAAGCAGCTTATTCTAAATAATGAAAATTGAAACATGATTATTTAATTTCTTCTAAAATTCCAGCTTAAAATTCTTCAGATGATATATATGTGCACATATACCCTATATAGTCAGCATTCAGAACACCAGATTTTTCCATTGTTATATTTTTAATGCTTACTGGAAAAGGTAAGTTGGTTTTTGAGCTAAAAATTATAATTGAGAAATGTAGTGTTTGAAAAAAGTCACATACAAGTATGAGTTTTATCTTTAGATCACTGAAGTGGCCTTTATACTTTGATATAATTAATATTTATGGCATATGTATATATTTCTACACACACAGCACATGTATATGAACTTGATTTTTATTTTTTTTCTTTTATGAACTTGATTTTAACTTAGTGTTATAATTTTATTTTTGGCAGTATTGTAACTAGCTATATTTAAATTTCATGCTTATGTCATATAATCTTGCATATTCAGAGGTGAGCTTTATTGTTATACAAATCTAATGCAAATATACTCTTATAACTTGCTTTCTTACATTTCATACACTTACACTTCAGTGTAATTATAATGTATGCATTGTGTATTTCATATAAGATTGAAACCAAGAGTAGAATTTAGGTTAAAAAAATGAAAATAATATCTCTGTAGGGCTGTAGTTGCCAGGCTACTGACACTGTCAGTTGCATGTGAGGTGTCACAGTGCTCAGACTTTCTTCCTGAATCCTTTGTAAATCTGCATTATTCAGTGAACTGCAAGGTTTAGTACTTTATCTTTAAAGTGTGTATATTGTTTCTGGGCCAGAAAGATGATGTTTTCTGAAATAGCAAATCTTTAGAATGGACATGGAAATTCTTAGGTGGTTCACATAAGAAGGAAACGTATTCTTAACTAAAGATAAAAGAGTACGTAATATTTACCTGAAATATAAAACTACCTGTCACATACAGTTAAAATATATTTGATTTCCTATATATGTGACATATTTGTAGGATTTATATTTAAAATATAAACATGTATTTTGAAATGGACCTTCGGTTGAACGTTTTCTATTTTTAGTAATGCAGAATCACTAATTGTGTAACATTCATGCTGACCACAATGATATCAAAAGCTTCTGGACATTTCTTTTTATCTCCTCGGTAACTGTAGATATCGCTTAATAAAGGCTACATACTATTATATATATATATTTTATGATACTTTTGAGAAAAATAATATAGAAGTTTCAAATACTAGCAGTTTAAATACATAATTCAGAATTATAGATGCAATAGTATTCATATGTTTAATGATGCATGATTTTTTAATACCTCATTCAAAATCCTAATTTTTTTAAGAAGCTGCCATTTTGTTTTTTCCTGTTTATTATTATTATTATTATTTTTTTTTTTTTTTGCGGTACACGGGCCTCTCACTGTTGTGGCCTCTCCCGCTGTGGAGCACAGGCTCCGGACGCGCAGGCTCAGCGACCATGGCTCACGGGCCCAGCCGCCCCACAGCATGTGGGGTCTTCCCGGCCCGGGGCACGAACCCATGTCCCCTGCATCGGCAGGCGGACTCTTAACCACTGCGCCACCAGGGAAGCCCTCTGTTTATTATTTTAATGGCTGGTTTAGACAAGTTATTCAACTCTGAATTATGAAGGATTTAAGTTGTTGGACTATGAAACTTATAAAAGCTGCTTAGGAACATACGAAGGCATACCAAATTGTATGACAGTATTGAAATGTTTATATTATCTGAAGTTAGAAACTAAAAAGTAAATCAGGATAAACTGATAAAATAAAAAGTATTGGCATGATTTTAGAAGTAATTTATTTGTTTTCAATAAATAAAGAGTTAGCAGAGGGACTTTTAGTTTCCAGTTTGTCATGTAGGAGCTCAGAAGTCTTTACTCTGGCCTAAAACAAATCAACAACTTTTCTTAGATTCATAAGAGAAGTGAGGTCACAAGGCAAACCGCTGCCCCAGATTGGAGAGACAGACAGGCAGATACAGAGAATCACAATGCACCAGAGCAGAAACCCACCAGCAGAAACCTCTGTGGGAACCAGAGCCACAGTGGAAAACCTGAACTGTAATTGATGAATTGCTGGAGGCCCATATATCAAGTCCGAGAGTTAAAAACTCTGGTCGGCGGGGGGAGTAATAAGGAGGCCTCCAGGCTTTTCTGAGTTTTACCTCCAGGACCTTTACCAAGTTTTCACAGTAAATATCAGAGAAAGATCCCTCCCTGCTTCTGGCAAAGGGAGAGGAAAAGGGATTGTTTAGAAATATGTCAGAGCACTCTCCTTCTTAACAAGGCTGCCCGTGAGGAGAGCCTGATCTGCAGAGATTATATCAGCACCTAACCTATCTGGGGGAAGGGAAATACCCAGTCCCTGCTCACTAGCTATCCTGTCCCACCTAGGGGAGAAAGATCCCTGAGAAAACTGGTGAAATTCCCATTCCACAGCCACAGGCTCCTCAGAAGACAGAGACTTAATCATAGGACCGCAGAATGCTTTCTCTTCTCCCACAACTTAACATTACATTACTAAAGGTCTGCTTACCAGTTCCTTTTAGCCAGTAACATCATGTTCTCCTTTCAACAAAAAATCACAAGGCACACTAAAAAGCAAAAAACACTGTTTAAAGAGATTAAACAAGCATCAGCTCCAAAGTCAGATACGGCAGGGATGTTGGAATTTATCCGACCAATAATTTTTTTTAAAGTATGTTAGTATGCTAAGGGCTTTAATGAAAAAAGTAGACAACATGGAAAAACAGATGGATAATTTAAACAGAGAGATGGAAATTCTAAGAAAGAATCAACAAGAAATACAAGAGATCAGAAATACTGTAACAGAAATGAAGAATACCTTTAATAGATTCATTAGTAGACTGGACATGACTGAGAAAAGAATCTCTGAGCTTGAGAATATGACAATAGAAACTTCCAAAACTAAAAAGAAAAGAGAAAATAACAGAACAGAATGTCCAAGAACTGTGGGACAACTACAAATGTACAACTACATTTCCATACACATAATGGAAATACCAGAAGAAGAAAGACAGGGACAGAAGCAATAATTGAAACAATAATGACTTAGAATTTCCTAAAATTAACATCAGACACCAAACCACAGATCCACGAAGTTTGGAGAACACTAAGCAGGATAAATGCCCAAAAAAAAATACGCCTAGGAAAATCATATCCAAACTTCAGAAAATCAAAGACAAAGAGAAATCTTAAAAGAAACCAGAGCAAGGGTCAGAATTATATTCACTTCTCAGAAACCATGCAATCAAGAAGAGAGTGGAATGAAACGTTTAAAGTGTTGGGAGAACTAAAACACCAACCTA